CATCTCTGAAGGCAGAGGGCGAGCGAGGATGGCGGCACGGCCCAGTGGCGTGAGAGCTCAGCAACCGTACACAAGAGGCAGGTAGACAGACAGATGGACAACACAAGACAGCGAGAGCCATGAACAGGCAAGCAGATAGACAGACAGGCAGACAGACAGACAGACACACATACATACACAGACACAGACACACAAACACACACAGACAGACAGACACACATACATACACAGACACAGACACACAAACACACACATTTACACAACGCGCGCACCTGTGCAGCAAGCTGAGATGGCAGTCTTTAGATCGGAGCTGGCGCGAACAGATCCAAGATGCTGCTTGATCAGCTTGTCCAATGCCGCTGTGCGCAAGAGAGCACCCACACGCGTGAGCTCGCGAATGAAGGACGGTGAGCGCGTGCGTGCAAGTGTGGATGCAAATGTGCCTGTGGTGCGACCAGCGAGCAAAGGTGCACGCGACTCAACTCACCTTTGGGCAGCGCAAGGTCGTCCGACATGCCGCCAATAATGTGTGGGTGGGAAGCAGCAGCAGCAGCAGGCAAGACCGAGGGAGAGAGCGCGTGTATGCGTGTGAGTGTGTGTAGGTGAGTGAGGCAAACAGAGCAAGTCAGCAAAGAGGCAGTCGTTCGTCGTCGTTGTTGGAGAAGACTTGAACAAGAAGAAGAAGAAGAAAAACGCGCAATCCATTCACACACACACACACACACACACACAACAGCCAATACACACGTGGGTTTCAACGCGCACTTTGCTCCAACCACCTCCCACCTTTGAAGGATCGTTCTTCCCCCCTAACCCCATCTCTCGCTCCGTGTGGATCCACCCATCGCCATGTCTGCGCCCGTGAGCATGTCGTCCAAGAAGAGACCGCCTGCGGTGCGCAGGGTGATCGCTGCCCCGCGCAAAGCGAGGTGAGAGTGTGAGTGCGTGTGTGTGCATGTGTGTGCATGTGAGTGCGTGTGTGTGTGCATGTGTGTGTGTGCATGTGTGTGCATATATGTATGCGTGTGTGTATGCGTGTGTGTGTATGTGTGTGTGTGTGTGTGTGTTGGACGTGCAGAGCGAGTGGGCCTCTCATCTTCTCAATTGCAACACACACACACACAAACACACACACACACACACACATGCACATGCACACGCTGCCATGACAGGGATCCCCGCTTTGACAGCAAGTGCGGCACGCTGGACGAGCAGCAGTTCCAACAGGCATACGGGTTCCTGGATGAAAAGCGCAAGGCCGAGATGAAGCAGATCCAGAAACGTGCGCTGCGTTTCGTTGACGCCTGTGTCGTTGACATGTGCACGTGGACGTTCTTTGCTGGAACACCTGCACATATCCTGCTCGTGCATGCCTATTGTTTGCACACTTCTCACATCACACATCATGTTCATTTCTCCATCCTCCATGCGTGGTGCAGGGTTGAAGAAGGTCAAGAACGCAGAGCGCAAGCAGGAGTTGCAGCGGTTGCTACAGAGCATGAAGGAACAGGTGCACCCACGCAGAACCACGCCACGCCCTCCCATGCCCTCCCATGCTCTGTCATGTTCATCCCTCCCGAAAGCAACACATAGTTCACCTAACCCACCCCCACCTCTCCTCCACACCTACCTTCATGCGCGTGTCGGGTGCGCAGGAGAAAGCGCGTGAGCAGAAGGCGCGGCAGCGAGAGGCAAAGGTGAAGCGCAACAAGATGGTCAAGGACTCAAAGGGCAAATACTTCCTCAAGAAATGTGCGTGCCTATGATGTGTGATGTGTGTGTGTGATGTGTGTGTGTGTGTGTGTGATGTGTGTGTGTGATGTGTGTGTGTGTGATGTGTGTGTGTGATGTGTGTGTGCGTGTGGTCGTGGTGAGAAGACTTGGTCCATGGTGCAATCGTGTTGACGCGTGTACACGTGCATGCTGCCATGTGTTCACGCCATTAATCTCACCCGCCACGACCACGCCGTCACGCCAACAGCCGACCAGAAGAAGCTGGAGCTGCTGAGCAAGTTTGAGAAGCTGAAGAAGTCGGGCAAGCTCGATAAGGCACTGAAGAACAGACGCAAACACAACTTGCAGAAGGACAAGGCCGCAGTCGGCACCAGGCACTGATGGCTTGTTTGTATCCTGTGTGTGTGCGTTTGTGTACTGCGTTGTGTGTGCTGTGTGTGCATGTGCATGTGTGCGTGTGCGTTTGTGTGTGTGTGTGTGTGCATGTGTTGTTGTGACATGGCGTGCATGCGACACGCGAGCGATCCAGTTGCGTATGTGTGTGTGTGTATGTGTGTGTGTGTGTGTGTGCTGTGCTGCACCCGTCGCATTTGTGTAAGCATATCCCACCATCTCCCATAAAGGACCCGCTCCAGGTGTGTGTGTGTGTGTGTGTGTGTGTGTGTGTGTGTGTGTGTGTGCGTGCGCTGAACTGTTTATGACCGCCAAACACGGTTCAGGCGACAATGTGACATGACTACACCACAAGCGCAGCGAGAGTTAGAACACAAAGACCACCACACGGTATGATGCGACACAAAGCATGCATATTTGTGTGTGTGTATGTGTGTGCGTGTGCGTGTGTGTGTGTGTGTGTGTGTCACCAGCTGGTCGGTGTGCCGAGTGCAGAGACACCAACGTCGTCAACATCACATCTCGCAACAACAGGTCTGCAACCACCATCAACACCATCAAACAATCACAAGCTACACCATCAACAACACCATCAACACCACCATCAACAACACCATCAACACCACCAACATCAACATCGCGGCCACAGTCGCGAGTGCTTCCGTTTACTTGGCGCCTTCGCCCTTCTTGCCGGATTGCATATACGCACTGATGATCTGCACAACGACGAGCGGCACAATGTACACCCACTGGCGATGATAGCATCGTGGCGAGAATGGTGGTGGTGATGATGATAATGATAGTGATGATGGTGGTGGTGATGGTGATGGTGATAGTGATGATGATGGTGGTGGTGGTGGGAGAGGTTAGGACGACCAAGGAAAGAGCAGCGTGACAGCAAGGAAGGCAGACAGACAGATGGAGGCAGACAAGGAGAAAAAAGCACAAACAGATGCCAGCATATACGCACCATTCTGTCCCAGAAGGACTTCTGTTCGGGCTCCTTCTCCTTGGCTTCTTTCTCCTTGACCTTCTCAACGAACTCGGCCATGTTGGGGCTGCAGGGTGTGGTGGTGGCGGCGGTGGCGGCGGTGATGAGAAAAAAAGGAGAGGAGCCGCGGGGTTGTGAATGAGTGGAAGTGGCGATGAACACACGGACACGGGAACGGACACGGACACGGACACACACATACACACACACACACACACACACACACACACACACACACACACACACACACACACACACACACACACACACACACACACACACACAGAGGTAGAACATGCACTCACGATGGGCCAGTGTTGGGACGGACAAACGTGACGGTTGTGCGTGGCTTGAGGGACGCCTGACAGTGGACGTGGTGTGTTGGGGGGGGGGGGAGGTGTAAGCAAAGGGGAACGGAAGGAAATGGGTTGAATACACAGACACACACAGACACATACACACACACGCACACAGACACAGACACACACAGACACACAGACACAGACACAAAGGCACACAGACACACCTGCTTGAGTGTTGCGGGGCACTCGCTGGACGTTGACTCCGACACGGCATAGACAGCGCCTGCCACAAAACAAAGCACCGTTGGCCGGTTAGCGGAAGGGTACAGGCAGACAGACAGACAGACAGACAGACAGACACACACATGTACATACACATGCACACACACATGCACACACACATACACATGCACATACACATGCACACACACACAACCACGCACAAACACACACACACACACACACACACACACACACACACACACACACCCCCCCCCTACACACACCGTTGTCGTTGACGTGCAGGATCATGCTGTCCATGAAACCGGAAGCGTAGAGGTTGCACGCGGGCAAGAATCCTTCTGCCACCACCTCTGCGCCGCTGCTGTCCACCTGAGATCGCACGCGCACGCGGTACATCTGACCCTCTGTTGCCGCCACCTGCACCATAGGATGCAAAAGCGCGACAACAGCGTAATGTGACGCAGGGAACAGAAAGAAGCGAACCTTCACAGTCGCGCAGCCACGGCATCCTTCCCCTCCTCCTCCTCCCCCCGGGTGTGATTCCATGTTCATAACGTACAAAGAGGCGCTCTGCAAAGTCCGGTGTCACGGTTTGCTCGAGGACACCTTTCGTCTGTGACTTCACTTGGATGGTTCCCCTATCGTTGGCAGACACGTTACACGACGAGATACAAGCCACGCACATGCATGTGCGTGAGGCATGCAATTCACATCACATCACATCACTCACACACACACACACACACACACACACACACACACACACACACACACACACACACACACACACACACACACACACACACACACACACACACCACACTGCTGGCAATTGTCGTGTGATTGTATCATGCCACAGCACATCGAGTTGTTCCTGTTACGTTCCCTTTCCCCCTGAAGCCATTCACCGACCAAAACCCCCAAGACGCTCACCTTGGGGAGAATGGGCCCGAGCCAAGTGCGTGGTCCACCGCATAGCTTGTGATGGCCTGGTTCTCACCGTCATCACCACCAGCACCAGCAACAGCACCCGCCACACGGTGCGACAACACCAAGCACACCACAACCGCGACAGCGACAATCAAGTTCATCGTGGATGTCTGTACACAACAGCATAAAGTGTAGTCGATTGCCTCATCCCATACGACGAGCAAGAGAACAACCGCGCACCAGCCACTGCCGCACGCATCAACAACCCCCTGCATCATGGAGCAAGCCGCGAAGAAGGCCAAGGAGGACACGCCGCTGACGACGACGACGACGGCGCGTGTGGCGTCTCCACCCGTGTCGTCCTTGGCGGACGTTGCCTCAGCCACCGGCATTGTGCGGCCAAGCGATCATGGCGCCCTCTCCTACGGCAGCTACCTGCAGCTGGACAAACTGCTCAAGTGCCAGAAGCTGGAGAGCGAGCGCGTCTTCGGCGAGACCGCACACGACGAGATGCTCTTCATCACCATCCACCAAAGTGAGCACGTGGGTGCGTGTGCATGTGTGTGTGTGTGTGTGTGTGTGCGTGCGTGTGTGCTTGTCGCAAAAGTTGGCCGGCGGTAGGGGTTGTGGTTGGCTCAGCCACCATTTTTTTTTGGGGGGGGGGCCGCGCTGTACCTTGCATGCTGACTCAACGGTGTATGCGTGCGTGTGCGTGTGTTTGATACGATGTGACAGCGTACGAGCTGTGGTTCAAGCAGATCCTCTTTGAGCTGGACGATGTGCGCAGTCTCTTCTCTGCCGAGGTGAACGCTTTGTGCTGCATGATCACAAGTAGCACAGCGTATCATATCAACAGCTCTGCACTGCCATCATGCACGCGCACGTGTGTGTCACATGCTGACGTTTCTGTGTGTGGCTTGCTTCCACTCGATATTGCAGTACTTGGAGGAACAGCTCATGCTCAAGGTTGTGGCTCGTCTGGACCGCATCAACGAGATTCTCAAGGTGCGTGTGTGAGTCAGTTTGTGCGAGTGCATGTAACGAGTGGGTGTTTGCGCTTATGGACGGTCTTGCGAATGTGGGAGTGTATGTAGTTGAGTGCGGGCGTGTATGAACTGTTCAGGACCGAATGCGCGTCCGGTGCAACCACCACAGCGGCACCTCACACAACACGTGCATGCGGAATAACAGCTGTTGGTGCAGCAAATGGCCATCATCGAGACGATGACCCCGTTGGACTTCCTCAAGTTCCGGTCAGCAGCGCGTGCTTTGCATCGCAACACATGTCACTCTTCATCTTTGCTCGTTTGCTTCCTTTTCGGCCCCCCCAAATCTCACAGCTTGTGTGTGTGTGAATGTGTGAATGTGTGAATGTGTGTGTGTGTGTGTGTGAATGTGTGTGTGTGTGTGTGTGAATGTGTGTCTGCAATGCGTCGCCCCACCCTGCAGCAATTTGCTTGCGCCTGCGTCGGGCTTCCAAAGCGTGCAGGTGTGTGTGTGTGTGTGTGTGTGTGTGCGTGCGTGCGTGCGTGTGTGTGCGTGCGTGCGTGTGTGTGTGCGTGCGTGCGTGTGTGTGACTTGCGCTTGAGCCGGGCTTTGACCTGCAACCACAAGTTCCTTGTTTTTCCTGTTGTCACAAGCACCCCACATCACACGTCTTGCCTGTATCCATCACTCCTCTCTGCGCCATCCACTCTGCACTCATCCACATCACTCCATTATCGCCGTCAGTTCCGTCTGCTTGAAAACAAGCTTGGCATGCTTCCCCACCGCCGTCGCACGTACCAGCGCAAAGGATACAAGTCAGTGTGTGTGTGCGTGTATGTGCGTGCGCGTATGTGGGTACGTGTATATGCGCGTGTGTGTGTCACTGACACATTGTCGCCACTGCCGCCACCCCGCCAATGATTCCTTGCGCGCGCGCGCGTGTGTGTGTGTGTGCGTGTGTGTGCACACCAGGGATGCGTTGAACCCCGAGGAGCTTAAACTGGTTGAGAAGTCCGAGCAGGAGGACTCCCTCTTCGTTCTTCTCGAGGCAAGCGGCCATGGGGGGGGGGATCACGATGGTGGTGGAGGCGATGGTAAGGGTGGTGGAGGCGATGGTGGTGGTGGTGGTGGTGGTGGGGTTGGGGAGGGTTCCTTGTTGTTCTCCATGCAGGCGAGCCCGTTGTTGGCGGGTTCTCACCGCGGCATTTGCCGTGCTCACCTGAAACACCTCCTTCATGGTCACTCAAACCCACCACTCCACCACCACCACCGACAGCGGTGGCTTGAGCGGACACCCGGGCTCGACGATGAGACGTTCAACTTCTGGGAGCGGCTCAAGGCGAATGTCGCTGCGGACACGAAACGGCGGCTGGCCGAGGCAGAGAAACTGCCAGAGACGCACAGGCAGAAGCAGATTGACTCGGTCAACGTACGTGTCCTGATGTTGTACTTGTGTGTGGTTGTTTGCATGTATGTGTATGTGTTTGTATTGCTTGTTTGTGAGTGGATACGTGTTTGGGTGTACATGTGTGGGATTTGTGTACCAGCGCACACATTTGCTTTCGTCTCGCCCCCAAATCTTCTTTGCCTCTCCGCCCGTCTGCTCTGCGTCTCACTGCCCACCTCCACCGCTTCGCGTTTGGCGGTCACGGGATGGTCCACAGGAGGAGCACCGCAAGTTCCAGTCCATGTTTGACGACAAGCTGTACGAAAAGCGGCAAAAGGGAGGAAATGTCCGCCTCTCCCACCGCGCGATGCAGGGCGCTCTCCTCATCATGTTCTACAGGTGCACACGCCGCGCGCGGTTGTGGTTGTGTGTGTTGTTGTTTGTGTGCATGCGTATGTGCGAGTGCGAGTGCGTGCGTTGTTGTGCGTGCGTATGCTTGAAGTGACCTGAGCTTGTGTGTGTGTGTGTATGTGTTTAGTGTATGTATGTATGTGTGTGTGTGTGTGTGTGTGTGTGTGTGTGTGTGTGTGTGTGTGTGTGTGTGTGTGTGTGCGTGTGTTGCGCTCACACGTCTGTCATCATGACTGCTGCGCTGGCAATTGATTTTTGTTGCCGTTGCCTGCAGGGACCAGCCACGCATGCACCTCCCCTTCAAGATGCTCTCTCTGCTCATGGACGTCGACAAGCACATGCTCCAGTGGCGAAGTGAGAGTTGAGACGTGGTGGTTCAGACATGGTGTCCTTTGTATTGCCATTGTGGTTGTCGCTGTTGTGGATGTCGACGTTGTCGCTGATGTGGTTGTGGTTGTCATCGTAGACACACACACATGCACACACACACATGCACACACACACTAAACACATGCACACACACACGCACACACGCACACACACACACACGCACACAAAACACACTCGCACACGCGCCACCGCCACGACCACTATACCATCAGTCAACCATCTTGCGATGGTGCAGCGGATGCTTGGCACGCGCATGGGCACGGGCGGCTCGAGCGGCTACCACTACTTGAAGGAGACAACCAGCGATGACTACAAGGTCTTCCTTGACCTCTTCAACCTCTCCACGTTCCTCGTCCCGCCCCACATTCTCCCAGAACTCTCGCAAAGGTGGCTTTCGTGTGTGTGTGTGTGTGTGTGTGTGTGTGTGTGTGTGTGTGTGTGTGTGTGTGTGTGTGTGTGTGTGTGTGTGTGTGTGTGTGTGTGTGTGTGTGTGTGTGTGTGTGTGCGCGCGCGCGCGCGCGTGCGTATGCGCGTCTGCTCTCTCGTCCCCTCTCTGTCTCTCGCGCGCGCACTCGCATCACACTGAACTCATCACCTGGTTCTTGCTCTTGACCTTTTCGTCAGGACCCGCGAGGTGCTGCAGTCGTCCATCCACTTCTGAGCCCAAACACAAAGACTCCCATCCATACCACCACCCCCATTAGTTTGTGTTCTGCTATCCAGCTTCCCCTTCCATCCATCGTGTGATCGTGTGACTGGCAAGTCATCTATTACACATTTCAATATGCAAACCAGCACGCACACGCGTGTGCACCCGCACGTGTTGGCATACACATGAAACAAAACTGCAAAGGGAACAGGGGCAGAGGGAAACAAAGGGCGGGCAGGAATACTACAAAGCACAAGGCAAACAAACGGGAGAGTAGTAGTGGACAATCAGAAGAAATGCACGAGACAAAAGAGAGAAGAGAAAGCGAGCACAACATCATCATGCACGCGAGCAGTCAGCATTAGGCACACAACCTGGCCACACCTTGAAGCACACACGCTGCGAACACACGCACGCAGTCATGCACGTGCGCGTGCCTGTAGGCAATTCTCCCGCGTGTTTAGATGGCGGAGGAGGCGGGGTTGACGAGACCGCGCTTGTAGCGGACGTTGGCAACCTTGTTGATGGCAAGCACAAACGCCGCGACGCGAAGAGACACGTTGGTCTTCGTCTCCTTCTCAAGCTCAGCCTGCTGCCGCAGAATCTGTTGGCCAAGCGACGGGAGGTGGAGTGCGGGGTGAAGTGAGGGGGGGGGGGAGTGGATGGTGAGCGTGTGGCAGCAGGAAAGTGCAACAACAACAACAACAACAACAACAACAACAACAACAACAACAACAACAACAACAACAACAACAACAACAACAACAACAACAACAACAACAACAACAACAGCAGCAGTGTGGAGATACCCACCTGGACAAGGCTGTCGCTCATGGTGTCCTCGAGGCCAGACTCGGCCAGATCACGCTCAGATGCACCGCGCACAATGCGGTTCTCCTCCTCAGCCGTAATCTGCACACCAGTCCTGTCAGGCACACACACACACACACACACACACGCACACACACACACACACACACACACACACACACACACACACACAAGCACGCCCGCACACACACACACACACACGCACATAGAGAGCACACGATGCATAGAATAAGGGTGTGGTGAGTAAAGGGAAAGGTGCGGATGGATGGGAGGTTGTGGAAAGCGAAACACAACAGTGTGGCAGCCAGATGGTGGCACGGGTACGCACTGCTTGAGGATGTCGACAATCTTCTGCCCGCGGCTCTCGTCGAAGCGGCGGTTCAGGCGACCAAAGCGCACGTTGGACAGGTTCTTCAGCCTAAACACGCACAAGGGGAATGACATGAGAAGGGAGAGGGACAAGCAGCTGGAGGAAGAGGAGGAGCAAGCAGTAGCATCTACCACACCGAGAGCAACAAGTGTGGCGGCTACTCCAGGCTCAGTGTGTGTGTGTGTGTGTGTGTGTGCGTGTGTGCGTGCGTGCGTGTGTGTGTGTGTGCTGTGATAGGGGGTGATGGCACGCACCACTCAAAGTAGGAGACGACGACACCGCCAGCGTTGAGGTAGAGGTCTGGCACAATGACAATGCCGCGGCTGTTGAGGATAGTGTCCGCAGTCGGGGTCAGCGGGCCGTTGGCCGCCTCGCCAATGAT